AATATATTATTATTATTTATATAATTATTATTCTTTCTAAATGGTTTACAATCAATGTATCTAAATTTGATGGATTTAAAATTCATTCGTTTTCCAATGATTTATTCTCATTAAATTTTTTCATCAGTTTATCTATCCAACCATTCATTCATTTATGTCTCCTTCTTTCTATCCATTCATTCTTTCTTCCATTCCTCCATTAATTTATTTACTTTTTTCTTTTTTCTTTTGCTCAATCAATCCTTATTGAAACCCAGTATGTTGTTTCAAATTTTACTACTACATGTAGGTAACTCAATATATACTAGAGAATGCTTCTGCAATGTCACAACCATGTCGTATTGTGTGCACCCAACCAAGAAGAATTTCTGCAATATCTGTTGCTGAAAGAGTTGCAGTAGAACGAGGAGAGAAAATTGCTCAGACAGTGGGCTATCAAATTAGACTGGAAAGCAGGTACGGAGCACAGATAGCACCCTTCCTAGTAGACTGATAATTTTGAATATTTTATGAATAAGTTGATTAAAAAGGAATTGTTTGGAAACTGTTACTGAATGCTAGGACCCTGTTTACATGAGATAGGGTGCCCCTACGTGGAAGGGCTAACTCCTTTGTTTTCTTTTCCCTGGAGGATTGAAAACAAGAGAGTTTGGCTCTACACCTATCTCAAGTAAACAGGGTCTAGGTTACCAGCTGACTTCTTTTATAAAAACATTGTAATGAAGGTGGATCAATGGCTGCTTGAATGAAAGGGCATGTTGATAGATAATTCTATTTTTTGTAGAGTGTCTCCAAAGACAGTACTTACTTACTGTACCAGTGGGGTCTTGTTGAGAACCCTGATGCAAGCTGATGATTCTCTGTCCTATGTTACTCATGTCATTGTAGTAAGTTTGTATCATGTATCTATTACTCGCAAATAGTCTTCTTCACGATTACCTTTTGACATCTTGAAAGGTAGCCGTGTCTTTACATCAAAGCAAGGCGATCGTTGAGCATGCAATGATAGAAACCGTCTTTCACACCTATAGAGAATTATTCACACAGGTTTCTATCATTGCACGCTCATCGGTTGTCTCGCTTTGATGTAAAAGCACGGCTACCTTTCAAGATGGCGCAGGGAACCGTGAAGTAGACTATTAATACTAATCCAATGTTTTTTGTTCGAAAAGGATGAAATTCATGAGAGGRATAGATTTGCAGACTTTCTTCTGATCACATTGCGTGAAATTCTAGCTGTCAACAAGAAAATCAAACTCATTCTGATGAGTGCTGCTTTGGATGTCAACTTGTTCATTGAATACTTTGGCAATTGTCCAGTAGTTCATGGTATG